CTTGGGGGGGGGGGGGGGGGGGGAGCAGCGCTGCTGCGGAAGGTGAAACTTTCCCTTTCGGGGAGTTGGGTAGTTGCTTCCGGCTGATGCTCCTCCCGGCGAAGATTCCGCCAATAGCAGTGTTTAGGGTGTTATTGACGTGCCTGCCACCGTGTCCATATGAGCAGGGAAGCGACAGGGGAAAGAGGGTTACTCATTTTTTGCTTCTACCTTTGGAGCTCCCCTCCGAGCTTTTTTTCTTTTTTTTTTTTGTGGCTGCTATTTCGAAGCTCGATGTCTCAACAACGAGACGCCTACGATATTCCCTGGATTCTGCTTTTGTGTTGTTCCATCCAATGCACCATTTTCTGCATTGGGGCATTGGAAAGAGAATGAAGCGATGCGTTGCAGTACACATTTGCCGCTGGTGGTGGTATCTTGCAAGGCCAGACTACAGGCAACGTGTTTTTGCCTACCGTATATGACACAAGATAACACACCCCCTGGCCCGATTTTCAAAGCTTGATTACTCGATGACGAAGAGGATACATAAACGAAATGATACATTTTCGAAAAGATCTCAACGAGACGGTTCCAACGCCGCCGTTTTCGGCGCTGTGAGTCTTCCTGCTGTTGAGAAATCGAGCTTTGAAAAACGGTCAAGGGGGTGTGCTATCTTGTGTCATATACGGTAGCCCTGTCTCATACTTGTGTGTGTATGCGTCCAAAGAGGTTGCCACGGTACCCCCTCTTGAGATACCTAGCCCTGTCTGCTATTTCTCTATGCATGCATCGAAATGGAGTGCTGCGGGACCCCCGGTGAGCACGATAGGAGAAATACCACTAGCTGTGGCAACGACCTCGTTGACCTCGTGTTCGTCATTTTGAGTTTGGTTCCAACGTCGTGCGTTGGTATCGTGTGTTGCCATGAACGATGGGTGTTTGTGTACGTTGTTGTCTGCCTTGTCGATATGTTACCCGTGCGACATTGTTTCAGTGCCTCGGTTTTCCCTCGGGTCTGTTAACGCAGTTCCTGGCCTTTGTCCGCTTGCTTTTGTCTGCTTCACCTGTGATGTATCTATCCCCAAAAGGTCCAAAGCCTGGGAGTGGGTGGACACGGCTATTTTGGTGGCGAAGGGCAAGCCAGTCTCGTGGCTCCAGTACACCCACCACGCCTCCACTGCTATCCTTACTGCCCTAAACATGGTGAGGTCTGACTACCAACTAGTGTGCAGTTGGGGTGCGGCAACCATCACACCTATTGTAGTATTCATGTACACCGCGAAAGAAGGCGAGAAATCCTCTCTCTCACACCCCCTAGACCGACGCTGTTAGCCCGAGTATGCATACCCCACAACTAAGAGGGTGCAAAGATGGACCGATGCTTGGACAGGACAGGACAAGGGCAAGGAAATCTTCTACAACGTAACCTAGATGTTTGTGAAACCGCCCTTGTCGGCAGTTGCAAGCTGTTGTAGTTGGTGGTCATGGAGCAATCGACTTGAAAGGTTGTTTCTTTTCTTTTTTTCAGGCCCCCGGGAAGGGCAAGCAAGGCGACCACTCTGACACTGTATGTCCATACACACCAGCAAGCGATGTCTGCTACTTCGTGGTGTGCCCCAATATTGACGGGCGCTGGTTTTTCGTTTGATGCTCTTGTCTGACCCCGCGTCCCACTCGTGGGCTGTTTGCTAACGGGTTCTCGCTTTTGCGGAAATTTTGTGTTGTTCCAGGTGCCGACCCGAAACGCCATGTGGTCCGTCGTGTGCGCTCTCAACAGCTTCGTGCACGCTTGGATGTACGCCTACTACGCTTTCCCAAGGTACTATTCATTCCTCTTCTTTTCTTTTTTCGCGTATTTTGCTTCCGCCGCCAAAGGCGACTGGTGTCTTCGTCGTGGTTGTCGGTGTCGAACTGTTTTCCTCCAGTGGTTGTTGACATGGATGGTATTGTGCATAAGGTGCTGGTTGTAGTTGTTGTTGTTGCTGCCTGTTTTTTTACCTTGGCGAGACAGTCTGCACATGCGATTCGTCGCGATACAACGAACAGGACCGCTATGTGAATATACACTTTTTTCGGGGGGAGAGTCAGCCGTGGAAGTTGCATCGTAGACATGATCACATTCCTTGTGCGCGACGAAGCGCATGATTGTCTATGCACTACCATATTTATTTACCGCAACCCGATTTTCTCACTTACGTCGCAGGCTCGCCGTGTTGGCGACGCTTTAAGATCTGACCGTTGTTTCATACCCCCAATCATCTCGTCTCCGTCTTCGTCTCTAACCCCACGCGTTGCTGCCACCCCATACTTCAACCCTACCCGCCTCTAACCCTCTAACCCACGCCACCCCATACCCCAGGATCAGTTTCAGCCGCGGGGCTCTTCTGGGGCGGATAGACCAGACCGATCTATCCGGCTTGTAGCACGCATTCCCCCTTATGCAAAGTACTAAACATGTTGGCGTTTATGCCTAGAGATTTCACCCGCCCTAATGTAACCCCAACCCCCCGTTGTCGCTAACCCTCACCGATCCCGCAGGTTTAGCCTGCTGCGGCGCACGAAGGTCTGGCTAACGTGGGCCCAGATGGTGCAGCACATGATCGTCCTTGCGTCGGCGACCTACGTGGTGTACCAGAGCCGAACAGGGACCGAGGTAGGTTTTGTCCCCCCCCCCCGCA